GGCAAACAGGTTGATAGAAAAGCCACAGTTTGAACTACGATCTACTCGGTAAAAGTGTTTTGAATAGTCATTCGAATATGACCCCTTTGAAATACGAAATACGGTTCAATTTCAGAAATATAATTGTTCCAATTTCGTACAGTTAGCTTTATCGTGTGTTCTATTTCCACTCCTTGTGATCCGTTGTGATAAGCTTTGATAGATATTGCGAATAAGATGTTTGCCTTTTAAATTTTTATGTGATGAACGTTAAAGGAGATGAGTCCGATGCGAATCGGCGATTTGGGCCCTGGAGCGACAGTCCACAAATGATTCCAGTAGTATCACAGTGGTATTGGGTTAGGCGACCGTGAAGCAGTTTAATACAGCCAAATATTTCACTGCAGCGAATTTCTGATGCCTACCTGCATTTTTTCCCGCCTTACTAGAATATCGAGTGAAAAATACTTTATTTCCTTCTCGAACAAAGATCAGTGTGTTACGTTAAAACATAGTAAAACAATATTGAGTGAATTTCAGAGCCATTCCTAGACAAAACCNAAAACCTTTGTCATCGAAAGTCAGAGCAGCTATCTAGAAAGCCGATTTCGGAGACAAAGGACACCAAGGGGAATTAGCTGGCGCCATGGTCTACTCAAGCCCAACCATAAATAACTACTGCTCCAAAAAGATGATCAATAAATGAACTAACTAAGCGCTATCATTTGCTCATAATGCACTTAACCTGCACACTCCACGGCTATAATACTGTAGACGATCAGAAATCCATGCATTTGAGACGGAGAGAATGTGGGTTTTGTTTGAAGAAATGGGGGATACATTTGAATAAACGAAACTTAAATTGCTGAGAAATGGTGATTTTTCAATAGGATCTTTATGTAGTTACTCATTGGTGCCTTTTAATAACTCATCGTAGAAATATCAGACCAGATAGTACTAGTACGATATCAGTTTAATCGGTTTGTCCGTTGGTAGAACAATACTGGATTATCAGATGGCACATGTTTGCTAACTGAAAGGTTCCCTGAAACGTTTGGACTTTTTTCTTCCACTCTCTTCCCGATCAACAACAAAAATACACGTTTCTTTCTTCGCATTCAACTCACAGTTACTTGTGAGTAGTAATGTCGGGTAAGGCATGCTGATGTGGATCGACCATCCTTCAAACTTCATCTTTACGCACATTCCTCCGTCCATCCAGTTAGCCATATAATCGGAACTCACTAGACCCCAGTTTTGCTCTCATTCGTGTTAATCAGTAACGTATACTCCCCGTCCAATTCGGGGTTTGAACTGCGGTCCCATTGTACGGAAGACGTGTGCATTATCCCTCTGCCAACCAGCTCACATCGAGGTTGATCAGAATTTCAATTCTTGTTTGATCACACATCATCTTCAATGACGGTCAGTCCGTTAATTGGGCATAAACATGGTTGACTAATTGTTGACATGAATCGGCAACACTAGTCAGCCCGGTATGACCTGTTGGCACAGTGGTAATGCATTTTTCCGTATGATGGGTCCCGAGTTTAAACCCCGAACGGGACGGTGGATATGCATTACTGATGAGGTTTAAGGAGAGCCAAACTAGAGTCTAATGCTTCCCTAGCTTACGGTTGGCTGGAAGAACAGAGACTAGTGTGTGAAGATGAAGTCTGAAGGACGGTCATTCCACATCAATCTTCATTACCCTTAGGAACAGGAGCCATTTCAATGATTACTTGATTGCTATTCATTAACATCATCCACACCAATAACTCAATGCACCAAATGAATAACAGACTGGGAGTATACCTCTGCCTCTGTTGCCAATCAAGCGATCAAAGTGATGCTCACTTACATATCTGAAAGGGTATTAAGTGACCACACAACGTGCCATTATCTTTCTGAAAGTGCACAGAATGATCTTTTTTAATCTGTTGCTTCCTTTCAGCTCGCAAAACATCTCCATATCTCATGACAATTGATACATATTCCCCTGGTGGTCTCTAATTGAGTCACCTTCAATGCACACCTATTCATGCACAAGACCGAAAACTGTTCCGTCAGACACATCAGACTGGGTGTATAAATACAGATTTAAGACTTAATCTGTGCCCGACTACCAAACAACGGCTTAGACATTATTCTACCTCAGGCAGTCAGTAGGCGAATCGGACTCCGGGGACCACCCATACGTGTAGCCATGCAAAACTGTTGAAAGTTTCTATAGTCTACAGAAAGGTGCACACATACAGACGCATGCACGATCGCGAGGGACGGGTTAGAAATCCTGGTGAGGACCTAAATGAAAATTTATGTGGGAAAGGATTTTTAGCGCAAGGTATCACACCTTGTCCTGGCTTTTCTCGAGCACAAGATAATTTGGCAATGAAGTGTTAACCCAAAAGAGCGAATAAACAATAACAACACGGTCGAAGAAAAGACCCAGTCTGAAGATAGTTGCAAACTATAGTGGGGTCTAGAACAACGACGGTGGAGCCTGAAGGTGTGAGTTATGGGATAGAAGTGTTTGCCATGGTGCGGAAATAGGACTTCCGTTTGGACTGAGATTCTATCTAGACTCGAATAAGACCGACTACAAGTATCTAAGAGGAACATTGTTTCAAACTACATTGGAAACAACTTGAGTGAAAAACATGCGTAAAAATTATTCCCTGCTACACACCGAAAAAGCCAATATTCGTTTATTGGTACACTACTCGTCCACAAAAATACCACTCAGATTTAAACATTGGTTAATCGCGAATAAATCTCAAGGAGTACCATGTAATCCAGCAATTAACTGATATGTAAGAATGAAATCTTACACAAGTTATATAAATACAAATACAATACAAATGAATCACTGTTGCATGATTGGTGGCATTTCCCACAAAATGTCGTAACTACCGTTATTTAATTGACTTAGTAATAGTAATCAAGGATCAAACTGCGGGTATTTATTTCTCATTAACGCTGTTTTTTCCTCATAGCCCACATATAACAAAAAGGCGAATCCAACACTAAATACAAATACATAACAAAATTAAATCAATGGACGATTATCAATTTCTGCCTTCATTCGTGACTCAACGTTTGAATGGAACGTTGTTGGTTTGTATTCTGTGTATACAAACTCAGATTGTACCAAATGAGTACCCACTGTTCGGTTTTCTTTGTATATTAGTAAAAGAATAGTAGAATACCAACATGTATGACCTTACACACTAAAGCATCAGTGTGACACTCATATGACAATTGAGATTTATTGAGATAGAGGGAGAAATAAGGCAAACGAGGAAAACTGCCAAGCCCAGTCGTAATCTGACATGTTTCTATTGCCAAAAGGAGAACTAATGTACCCCAATTTCTATTCTTCCATTTCTTTCTGCCAAGTGAACTTTGTCTATTCTTATGTGGACGACTAAGATGTATACTGTTTTCGTTCGTCCTTCATCCTCCACTGCCGTTTGTTTGCTTCACAGTTGCGGACCAACGCACTAGTTATTGCATGCAAATGATCATGATAGACCCACTTACCACTCTTCGATTCTCGGTTAACATTTAAATTATGGAAAACATGTACATAACAAGTTCTACACCAAAAAATGGTTTGTTCCACTTCCCAAGGCAAATATTCGAACTACTACGAGAAAAGAGCGCTTCGTGCAATATTTAATTATTCGAAAACCGTCAAGTTATTTCCCTTCACTTTTGCTCCTGGTGGATCGACAGAAGAAAGGGTTTTGCACATGAGTGAAAAATGGTTTTCCGGTTTCTTACCGAAGCGCTGCAAACGCCCGCGTTGTTCGGTAAGGACATTCATTTTCATTGGGAACGTTACCCGATAAAATTCGAGTTAGATTTTAAGATCAAGGACTAACGCGTACGCAATACAGAATACAATGACTGCATGCCGGAAATATTTGTAATAAGGTCTGATTGTATTTCAGTCCACATGTATTAACAGATATGAAACGATCGGGGGAAACGGGAGTGAATTTATCGACGATAAATTGAGGCAAGAAAATGCTCAGTCGATAGGAGACGCCAGATGCCGCGTGTTTTAAAAACAAGTACCATCTAAAAATGACTAGTAATCTCCTAATCGAACAGAGCTCAAATAAAATTGTCTCGGTGCATGTCCGGACAGAGCGATGGAATAAGGCCACGTTCTACTGGAACTAAACACCCTCAGAGAAACAATGTAAAACCCCTAGCTCTTTCCAATGAAACGCTCGTTTCTTTTAAAGGAAATAAAATGGAACTACATCGCTGTATAAAACGATTCAGCATATTTGCACTTCCATGCGTATGCAAAACAAAGAGCTTGTTTCCGAAGCTAGTAAAACACCAACTGAAACACTTGAACCACTCCTTCTCTTAGTACGCTAACAAAAATAATGTTTAAAAAAACGTCAGTCAAAATTTGAAATAAAAAATAATCTGCAGTTTGGTAGAATGAAATCCTGCAATTTATTCAACCATGCCCATATCTGATGGGCATCCGTTTTCTTTTGTTTATTCTACCGTCTCACGATAGTGACTGGCGAAAAAAGATAATAANAATAAATAGGTTCGTTCTCAAACCATTGGGAAAAAAGTGTGTATTTGTCGTCTAACTAACACGGATGACCTTTCACCCAACCCAAAAGGCAACATAAGTGTTCAACTCCGAAGACTGTTCGCCATGCTTAAAAGTGGAGAGGTCCACTTCAAACTAAGAGTGAATCATGCTTACAACATGACCTGAAAATCTTATGCTCTCCGCATTCGTGCGCAAGAGCACTCGCCGGTAAAATCTCTCGCCCGAGTGGCATGACAGTTGTCCGATTTTATCGNGATTGTTTTGTTTTTGTGAATGAATGAGCGGGAGCACGTGAGTGAGTGAGTGAGGGAGGGAACAAACATCTTATTCAATTTCGCATCCGTCTGACCGACTACTCTTTCTTGTTCCAACTCTTTCTTTGCCCTCCCCGAAACGTGTGCGCCCATGTACACCATTATTACTATTACAGTTGTTCATCACGGACCGCGACAGTCCGGAAGTCAATGGTCACGTAAGTTGTCAAGAGCCGGAACACCTGGCCGGCAAACAACCCTTGTTGTTTCATTTGCAAATGGCCGACCTCGTTCTGACTGGGGGAGGAACGTTGCCCTTGGGTTCCCCGGCTATCGGTCCGGAACATCGAGTCTATCAGCGCTTTGACTTGTACAGTCGTCATTCGTTTGATCGGGAAACGGATCCGCATGTGCATCAAAGCCTGTTGGTTTGTTCAGATGGTCAATCATCTGACTCGTTCCCATATGATCAAGCCAAAGATGTCGAACGGCCTCGGTTAACGGGTACTTTAACGATCTTGCTGACCGTCGCAGATCAGAATGACAACGTGCCCGTGTTCGAGCGTCAATATTATGAGGCAGAATTGAAAGAAAACTCGCCCAGAGGAACCCGTGTAGTGCAGGTAAGATGCCGGGGGATAGATTCTTGTCCAAGACTAATGCATTCTGATTTCATATAAGTAATAATCAGAACAAGGATAGAATAAGCTCAGCAAACTGAAAGATGAAAAGAACGTATAATTTATGCCTTCTGAAAATGTCGCTGTTGTGGTATCATATCCAGATATCCGGACATCAATTCAAGCTGTCCCGCTATCCAGTTCAGATGTATTGTTCAAACCTCATGGTAGTGTCTGGCTGATCATTGCTTCACACATAGATTACCCAGTCCCTAATTAAAATGTGGGGCGGGATATTGGGTTGTCGCTTTCCTCAGTCCTACAGGCCTCCAAACTCATTAAATTTTTCCATCATAAGCCTTGAGCCTACGCGTAAACGTCTTGCACGCAACCATCTACCAAACTGCATCGTCCCACTAACACCAAGGGATTTTACCGGATCAGTGATTGCGTCAGTGCTAATTCAAATTCACAAGTGGTTAGTTTTCTGCCTACAAATTGTATTCAAATTTTCTGTTATATTTTGTATTTGTATTTGTGTAACTTGGGTAAGTATATATGCCTGTATTTCAGTTAAAAATGTCCATTGTTCGTCACGCGAAATAAAATAATAATGATAATAATAATGAAATATAACAAAAAGGTAAAGCATTTCACGGAAGTTTGTTTCATCTACAAAACTTCGGTCGTAGTTCACTCACGACCTGATCCTTTTTGGTAAATAGTCTAGTCAGGTTGGGTACAGGGGAATTTTTATAACTGTTAATGCGAGAGGGTAGATGGCAAAATGAGAATCGTGTGGACGGATGGGAACGACAAGACAATAGATCACGGTGTAGTGGATGTAGAGGGTCATCTGGAATCTTATGAGCAAATTTAACTGATGTGACCATCAATGAGTTCTGTGATCAATAAATCGATCAGAATTGATGATGCACGACTGATGATCATCAAACCACGGTGAATTTTTTATGAAGTTTTGTTTTAAATGATCGGGAAATAATACAGGAGAGTAATAGAGTAGAATGAGTAAAAGCAATAATGAATAAAAGGAGGACAGGACTATAACAAATATAACGACAACGCAATTTCTAAATACTAAAAATGACCTGATTTGTCATGTATTCCGAAAGGAATACGGTGTATCTATCAAACCTGTGGACTTTGAAATAATACTGAGAGAATCGACGAAATAATATGAACATTCTCTGAGGGTTGCTTAAACTCTCAACAAATCGCAGTTGGAAGATGCGCACTTTTCCAAATAAAGTTCTCTTCCTAAACATTTTAAAATCCGCAATCCACGGGGGTTAAATAATAGATTCTTATTGAGATACTTTTGCGCTGCGGATGGACAAACAGGATTATTCATGACTGGTGTCTATCCTGAAATAGCACAGTTTGATTGTGGCTAAGTTGTGAGTTTCTCCTTTTGATGCTTTTTCTCCCTTCGGGAAATAGTCATATAGAGAAACAGTATATATTTAAAAAATCCAAAACGATTATTTTTACTCAAAAAATTAACCTTTTTCTTCAGGTCATCCTACAATTTCTTGCTGTCATAGGATTTGCGCCATCCCATGTCCGAAGGTTTGGATTGCACATTGATCAATAATTTCATTTGACAAATAAAAAATAATGATTCTAATTAGAAATCTCAAGCTCACCTGGACGAGGATGCGATCAAGTCAAATTGATTTCTGATAATTTTTCATCACTGTGTTATTTTAGTTACGTCCTGAAATTCAATGACCATTCAAGAAGAATTGATTATCATTGTCATCATGTGAATAACAATATTCAGGTGGTACAGAGTATACGTGAATTTCCAGAGTTACATCCCAGATGAATTAGTGTATCATCACTGAAGTACACAAACCCATGAGTGATATTTTAGGTTGTTCCGTTTATTTGAATTGTATTGTTTATAACATGAATATTCAGAAAAGGGGCTGTGGTCGGTGGAACGTTGTCTATGAACGAAGCGCACTGACGATGAAGGGATTCGAACATATGAATTAAGAGCGTCCGCGCATAGATAGGTAATATCACTTGACCGCTGCTGCCGATTACGAAGTTCTTTCAATTTTATCCCATCTCAAGTCGAACATCTAAATTGATTCCCCAAACTCGCCCTGGCTTATGGGATACACAAAGACCAATCTATAGTAAGTTTATAGTCATTGAAATTCAGACATTTGAATATTACCTTAGATTTGTATCATTATATTCTTCGTAGTTGAAGCGGGGATAATGTTGTAAATCATTTTTGTTTGTTGAAGGTCTTTTTTCTAACTTCATTTGTGAACTGTAACAAAACTGGTAATATCGGAGACGCCGATTGAAAACAATCTGTATGTATAGCCCCTTTTCCTTTGTCCTTATACTCCACAGACAAAAACCTACATTGATATAGGTAAATGAGTTGTATTCAGTAAAACTGTGGTCCATCTTTTTAAAGACCAATTGCGCTTCCCCGCAGAAAGTATTTTCTTTTCCTCAGTCCGTTCCTACTTCTTCTTGTTGGCAGTTTGAGTGAACCAGCAGAGTGGTACAAAACTTACTCGCAAATTGGGAAACCTTGATTAGTACCATTTCGTTGGTCTCTCATTTGCGTCCCTTTCAAGTTCTTCGCTGGCCATGCTCCCAAAGTCACTTTCCTCACACATGCGGCTCTTCACCATCCTTTCCCTGGTGCCACTCAAATATTGTCTCTATTCCAATCATCAAAGCTATCCTCTGCGTCCGAACCCACCATAT